ATTTGGGGAAAATCAAGCCAGAAAGCAGCTTCAGTCCAGTGCAATCCCAGCAATCCTTACAGTTGGGAACTGCTGAGCTTGTAATCATGTGGAATTGGAAAAATAGCTCTGCCTCAAAGCCTGGAGGCTGCTGGAGAAGCAGGGCTGTTCTGCTGGATAGTTCTGCTGTGGGATGTAGCCAGGCTCACTGCCTGGTGCACAAAAACCCTTTTCCCTCCTGGTGCTGGAGCAGAGCCCTGGGCAGGGCAGAGCCTGCAGCACCTGGTGCTTTGCACCTTCTGGATGGTGCCAAAGGCTGGGGAGGTGATGGGAGCGTTTGGCCTGAGGATGTTTTGTGGAAATGAGGGTAAAAAAAATCATTGGTGAAATGTCCAAAATACCCTGCTGAGACACATCTTGGTGTTGGTGTGATCAGTATAGGAGAAATGGAGGGTGGGGGAAGCGTGGGTCTGTGCCCTAGTGCTGCAGAAGGCTCGGGGCAGGGCTTGGTGCAGAACCAGCTTTGGAAAACCCAGATATATCTGCATCCTAAGGAAATTGGCTTTGGTTTGCAAACCTTTGCCTCTCGGCCCAGGCTGATGGGGTGGGGCTGGGCAGCTTTTTGGGGACCTGGGGAAGGAATGACCTGTCCCCCTCTACAGCACACCCCAAGAACCAGGGCAGGGTTTTGGGGTACTGAGCAGAGCAAAAGGTGTCCTGGTGGACTTTGAATCAGGTGCAGCAGCAGGGACATCCTCCCAGCTAACCCCCCATGCACCCCTAAGGCCAGGTAAGTGCCTGCCTCCCAAAACAAGCCATCCCCAGCTGCGCAGGGATCTCAGGCTGCTCAGGTGTTTAGGGCTGTTGATGAAGATGACCCTGTTCTCTCTTGAATCCCCAGCACAGAATCACAAACCTCTGTCCTAAAGCCGATGGGGAGAGCAAGCCCCCTGCACCCTGCAAGCCAGTGCAGGTACCTGGCACGCTTATAAGATGGATGTCTCCAGCTCCATCCCTTCTGGTTCCTTCCTCCCTGGGGGATTAATCACTGTGAAAGGTTCTTGCCTCAGGGTGAGGGCAAAAAAGTGGAATTTGAGAACGCCTTGCCAAAGTTGCTGCATTCCTGCCTTGACCCGACTGGGCCGAGCATCAGATTGCAACTGAAGTGTAAAAGTAGCTTCTGCTTGCTGGTCTGAGCAGAGGAAACCCTTGGAAACTCCTTCAGCTCCATGAAGAAGTTCAAAACTGTTAAACCAGATTCTGGTGTGCTCTGATTTTTCTCAGTCTCAGCTGGCACATTCTTTGGCGCAGTGACCGCAGGGAAAGGCTGCTGGGGAATTTCTCATTATGCAGACTGAAAAGCACATGCAACCCACTGTCTTTCTCTCTCTGTTTCAGTCCCAGCCATGCCATCCCTCTTTATTAAAGTCATTAACAGCACCGCCGTGCAGGCGACGTGGGAGCCCTCCATCAAACTGGGCCAGCACGAAGGCTTCAAGCTGTACTACCGCAAGGTCCACCTGGCCCAGTACACAGGCCCAGTGCTACTGGCCAGCAACGTCACAGCCTACAACATTACCCACCTGGGTGAGTATGGTGACACCCTGTTCCGTGTTCCCGCCCCGGGAGGGTCTGTCCTAAACAGCAGGAGAGAGCTGGCATGTGTTGCCCAACCACTAAATGAGAAATGCAGGAGCTCTCCCCCAGGTTTTGGAATGCTTTCCCATGAACAGGTAGTTCTTTGCAGCATCCTGTGTGTATTTGGTAAGATGTTCGTTTCCCAAACAAGCCTCACTCGTGGTGACACCTGGACTGTCCTTGTGTCTCCCCCGGCAGACGCGTCGGTGGTGTACGAGGTCAAGCTCCTCGCCTACAACCAGCACGGGGACGGAGACTCCACTGTCCGCTTCGTGTCCCTGAGGGAAACCGTGGAGAGGACAGGTGAGGCAGGATGTGGGTCTTGGTGGTGGTTTGGGAAACTGCTCTGCAGGAAGGTGGTGAGGCCAGACACATCCCCCAGACCCCTGTGGCTCTCACCTTTAGCCACTCGTTTATTTTCAGCATCACAAGTAGTGCTGAAGCAAAACCCTGCAGGGCTGGGACCACCTGGTGCTGGCCCTGGGGTGGCTTCCTGACCATGTGGCTTGTACCATCCCCATTGGCCAGTCCAACCTGATGACTTTTGGGGATAAAACTAACCCAATGTTCCTGTAATTGCCAGTTTTGTCCCATAAGCTTGAGCTAGAGGCGAAGCCATGAACATGAACAAGCCCCCATGCCTAGGCTAAGAGCTGCCATCCTCAGGTGAGATGTGATGCACTGAGCATCTCCACTCTCCTGGAGCTCTCCTGGATGTTTTGACCTTCACTAGTCAAAAGGGAGGGCACGTGGCTTTGGAATGGGGAACGGATGCAGAGCACAAGTGCTGCTTTATGTGGCAGCAGAGGGGAAACCTCTAGAGGGAATCTCTTAACTGATCACACCTTTCATATTCATCTATGTGTAAAAAACATCCTGCTGCTCTTGGAAGCCTTTTAAGCCTTCCAGTGGGAATATCTTCAAGAGATAGTTATAACTCCTCTGTCTGTATTGGAGTAAATACTAATCTCACTGGCATCTGCCTGCTCATTGCTTTCCATCAGGTCTCAGCCTGCTCTGGCATGGTCACCACCTCTCATCTCCCACCTTGGGCACAGGGGATGGCAAAAATTAACATCAGAGTCTTTTCTGTTCATTAATTGTGTCTAATGACAGCAGCCAGGTAATGGGGCTGGCTCACTATGGAATTCCAGTCCTGTGCTTGCTCTGAGTGTCTTCTTGGAGTGCCAGGAGCAGGGAAGCTCCTTCAGCAGGCAGTGACCCCCCTGCCAGCTCTGCATCTTTATCTCCTCTTCCCATACACACAGCCCAGGCTCCAGCTTTGGCTCTGGGCTCCCCAAAAGCTGGAGGAACAATAGGAGAGAAACACCACTGACTCCCCAATCCCCCTTTTTTCTGGCAGTATTGAATCCCCCCTGTGATTGCATGAAGGACGAGCAGAACAATAAAACCTCCACGACCGGCATCATCATCGGGATCCACATCGGCGTCACCTGCATCATATTCTGCATCCTCTTCCTCATGTTCGGGTACCGAGGAAGGTAGGGATGCTCATGTCACTGCTCAAAAGAGGTGATGGTCCCTAATGCCATGTGGGTGTCGCACCCTCAGTGCAATGCTGGACTTTATAGGATGGATTGAAGGATGAAGGAACGTAGCATAGGGATAAGGCAGACTCAGGCTTGGGGGAGGGAATGGGGGAGGAACCATCTTTCTCACCCTCAGGCTCCATCTCTTTATTTTTCAGGCTGCTGATGTGCAAAAACGTGCAGGAGCAGCTCTCAACCCCACAGATCCCCAGGAGCCAGCGGAGCGCCGCAAGCCTCGTCCTGAACGGGGCCGCTCGCAGGGACAGGGACGACCGGGACTTGAACGGAAAGCAGCTGGATATGAACGAGCTGGAGAGGTTATTCCCAGCATCCCCATCCCAGGAGCAGCAGGATAAGGGAATGACGGTAAGTCCAGCGGGATGGGAGCTCACCTGGCTGCATGGCTGAGCGCATCAGACGTTGTCACTGCACTGTCCCCTTCTCTCTCCTCAGTCGGCTCACAGCCCGCCGGCCCCCCACGACGACACCCAGATCTCCACACTCCCTCTGGACGAGTTCAGCATCATCGAGGAGCAGCCAGACCCCCTCCCAAAACCCTCCCGTGGCAGCAGCCCCCCTGCTCCAGCTCCCGACCACGGTCCCGCCAATGAAGGATAAAACTGCCAAGACTCGAAGCCTCTTGTGGGAGTTACCAGAAACCAAACCCGCGGCTGGTGATGTCTTTACGAGTTGTCAATCTCAGGTCAATTGAAGATTTCTACGGTCTGATTGTTATTTTTTTGTTTTGCTTTATTTTTATATATATATATAAATATATATATATGTATACAGCCTTTTGGAAACTCTGTGAAGTTTTATCTTTCTGACCTCTCCTTCGAGCCTCTCGGTGTGTTTCTTCCGATGACGGCTTCGTGGAGACTGGTCACGATGAATTTTCCCCTCAGCTGCTAAGTAACAGACTCCTTGGCAGAGTTTGACAAACTCTCCCGTCTCTGACAGACTGGGAATATGGTGGAGCATCTCCTGGCATCCCAGACTTTTTCCTGATCAGCAGCTTTAGGACTACTTTTTGGATCTATTTTTTATTTCCAGAAGACTGGATTTGGAGAAATCCTTCTAACTTGACTCCAAAAATCGAGGCCCAGGAAGGCTGTCTCTCCGTGGATTTGATGACTTTGTACACTTTTGCTATTTCTCAGGATACTTTTTTTGCTGATTGACTCTAAATAATATGAAAAAAAAAGGGCAGAAAAATAAAAAAAAAAGAGTGTGTGTGTCAAAGGATGCCTGAGGGCTACTGAAAGACTTGGACAGACAACCCGAGTGAACTCAGAACCTACCTCAACCGGAATGAATGTCTTCTGGGAAGCAGAAATGCCTGCGTCTTCCTTCGTGTTCAAAAAGCAAGTAGCATAGCACTTGGTCAGTACAAGCATGGTCCTACCTCAGCAGTCACGCTCTGTACCTGCCGCCCCGGCGGCTTCGTCGTCGTCGTTCCCGTGTAAAGCACTTCCAAACCTTTGAAAGCAATGTTCTACCTCAAGCATGAGAGAAGCTCGTGTGTGAGAGTGTGAGAGTGAGTGTGAGTGTCTGTGTGTGTGTGTCTGTGTGTGTGTGTCCTCTCCTCTCCCCCAGTTCCTGCCTCTCCCACCCTGCCCCTCAGGAAGCGCGATGCTTCACTAGTGTTATGAGCTTTACTTTTAGGGGCTCCGGTGTGATTTTGGAGATTCCTGTCGTGGTTTTTTTACTTTAAAGATTGTTGGGGCTGTCACAGACAAGCAGTGTGGTGCTCTCTGGTTTTCCCTGGCATTGCTGCCCTCCCAGGGCTGATTTGGGTGCTGGTGGTGGCTGCCTCAGTCCATTTTGGGTGTATAGAGATGGAGTGCTCAGCTGCCAGCATTGGAGCCAGGGCACCTTCCTGCCTTGTCACTGTGCTGATTCCCAGCAGGATGATTTATGGCACGTGCCAGCATAAGCACCATAACACACCCCTGGGGGGTGGCAACCTGGATGTCAACATCTAGTCCCAAAGCCCACCCTGCCGTAGGAGCGCCCACGGGCAAACAAACCCTGAGACAGTACTTCCAGAACCCCCTGAGAGGCTACTGAGCTGCTCCCAGCTCTTCCAGCGCATTTCCAGCCACAGGAGAACATCCAAAGGATGAGTGGAGCCAAAAAGGGCTCAGTTCCCTGGGAAGGACAAGGCGAGGAGGATGCTGGGGGCTGCCGGCAGCTGCCCCTTCCCGATGCCCAGGGTGGGCAGAGGAGCTCCTGACACCAAAGAGAGGGTTTGTCCCCTCCAGGGATCAACCACCAAACTGCCACTGTGGGGTTTGGGTTGTCCTGGCGTGGTGCAGCCTCGTGAGTCGGTGTGTGACCGGCATCATCCGTGGGGTGAGATGGGGGCAGGGACGGTGCCTGTTCCCTGCCACGTGGGTTGGTTCAATCCAGGCGAATGTGAAGGTTTGAACTCTCTGTGTAAGTGGTGGTAAATCAAATGTTGCCGTATCTGCAAGGACAGTGAAAGGAATCAGGAAAGGAAATGAGTTTTAAGTTTTAAAAAAGGTATTAATTGTATTTTTTTAAATGGTACCAGTGGGAGAGTCCCTTGTGTGAGAAACATCCCCATCACTTGCCCAGCTGGCAGTGGGATGCTGCCCATGGCCGTGCAAATAATACCACACACAGGAGGATGAGCAAACGCCTCTTCCCTGTGCTGGGCCGGGTTAGCTGGGAGCAGGACTCTGCCCTTCCACATCATCTGCCTTGGCCCTAGCAGATTGAATGGCACCAACCTCGAGAGCAAGGAGCTCTTGAGGCTTGGTGTTCCTAGCCCCCTCCCATTATAATTCCTCTTCCTGTTGACATCAGGCAGGACAAAAAAGATGTGAAGGGTTAAACTTTGGCGTTAAGCCCCCAAACAGCCTCTCCCCACCCCACCAAAGAGGCTAGATGGGCCATCAGACCCATCGATCCCTGCTCCCAAGGACATGGGGGGATGTTCCCTTTTGTGACGCTGGACCTGGAGACAGCCTGGGAAGGGACTGTGGGGGGACAGCGCCATGTGAGTCCAACAGCACAGCCCATCACAAGAGATGGAGGATGGAAAGGGCAGGAGGGAGGAGGAGACACCAAACAGTTCAAGTTATAACCTCATATCAAAGACAACCCGATCCTCTCCTGCCATCCCACTCCCACCCCAGCCCAGCTTTTCTTGTTATTGTTTTTTTTGGTGTGTGTAACGTCACCGTTCACATTGAATAAGTACCGTTGCCAAAGTGAACACAAAACCTAGAGTAGCGTTCAGCTCAGACTTCCTGAAGCTGTGAACATGCTATTAATTTAATATCATATTATTGTGATATTGTAATAGTAACAAGTATTTGTCACTACTTCCTTTTATTAAAGGGAAATGCTGTGCCATTTGACTAGTTGGAATACGATAGTGTGTCAAGAGTAGAGCTTTTTCTTTTGGTTTTTTTTTTTAATTATGCAGAAATGTGGTGGCTTAAACTAATGCAGATTCTGTGTTGGTTTGAGACAGTTGAAGATGGATGTAAATCTTTAAAGACTATTTTTTAGAAGTCTAGCTTTTCCTCTTTTTTGGGGTTTCTTTTCCACTCTTTTCAATCCGTACCATTGGGACGTAATGTAGATGGTTGCGGCAACTCGGCCCACGAAGGGCTGGGGCTGGTCTGGTGATCCATCAGGAGGGCATGGTCTTCCCTGACTTATCCAAGTGCACAAAACTGGGCAAAAAGACCACTCAAAATGGCACATTCTGGCTTTGTGCCTCTCAGCTGGAGAAGTGACACATAACAGCCCCTCTTGCTGTACATCAGTGCCTGAGCCAGGCTGGACACAAAGCTGTGACAACCAAAAACTTGGGAAAGTGTCACTTAGAGTATGTCTGGCCTTGAATCTGTGAAATGAGAAGGAAAAAAAGAACAAAAAAGAACCTGTGTTTGGTTTCAGCCTGAGGGACAGCCTGTCCTTGATTCATCCAAACTGCTGCCCAGAGATAAAACCGCTGGGTAATGGGCAAGTGTTGGATCCAGTGCAAACTGCTGGCAACCACCCACGTTTGGGGTAGGAATCTCATCCTTTATTATTTTTCCAGGCAAATAGTTCCACTAATTCAACCCTCTCAGCTGATCCCAAAAACCCTCTTATTTTCTGGCTGTGGTGAGATGAAATTATGGGAAGGAATAAATATCCAAAAGCTGATTTTTTTTTTTTAATTTTTGGTAACCCATAATGGGCACAACCTATTCTTGGAGCTCTCAAGTTGACCAGAGATGGCTGCTACCTCAGGGATAGTATCCACATTGTCTTTAGTTGAACAGGGAATAGTTTTATGCTGTGACAGGGTATTTTCACACTGTTGGATTCGGGTATTTATTTGTCTACCATTATCTTTCTTCTTTCTTGTTTTGTAAAGGTGCTGATATATTTAAGTGCTGGTCCAGTTTGGGAGTTTTAAATCTTCCACCTCAGATTATAACAAGGGACTGTAGATTTTAAGTTGGCGATAAAAGAGGAGAGAAGCTACAAAGCATTGTTGCTTCTGGATGGTGAAGGGAAGCTGAGTGACAGCACTTAAGTCTGAGAAGATCAGTTAAAAAAAAGGAAATTAAAAGCTTATGAAAACAAACGGGGGGAGCTACTTACTCACTTCATCTGTGCAAACAGTGTGTGGAAATCTATCCCTCCCTGTGCGTGCCAGAGCGGGCAGGTTACAGATCCCATCTAGCAACTTGACGCCGGCTCATTTATTTCCCTCCCCACCAAATTAAAAAAAGGGAAAGAAAAGTTGATGGCCAGCTCCCAGTTGGTGTCCAGTCACTAGCAGTGTCCCCCAGGGATCAGTGTCAGACCCAGTCCTGTTTAATATCCTTACTGATGATCTGGATGAGGGGATTGAGTCCACCATTAGCAAATTTGCAGATGACACCAAGATGGGGGGGGAGTGTCCATCAGCTGGAAGGCAGGAGGGCTCTGCAGAGGGACCTGGACAGGCTGGATCCATGGGCTGATTCCAACGGTGTGAGGTTCAACAAGGCCAAGTGCCAGGTCCTGCCCTTGGGCCACAACAACCCCCTGCAGCTCCAGGCTGGGACAGAGGGGCTGGAGAGCAGCCAGGCAGGAAGGGACCTGGGGGTCCTGACTGATGGCAGCTGGACATGAGCCAGCAGTGTGCCCAGGTGGCCAGGAAGGCCAGTGGATCCTGGCCTGGATCAGGAACAGTGTGGCAGCAGGACCAGGGAGGTGATTCTGCCCCTGGACTCAGCACTGGTGAGGCCACCCCTGGAGTGCTGTGTCCAGTTGTGGGCCCTCAGCTCAGGAAGGACATGGAGGGGCTGGAGCAGGTCCAAAGGAGGGCAACAGAGCTGGTTAAGGGACTGGAGCACAGGTGCTGTGAGGAGAGGCTGAGGGAGCTGGGGGGGCTCAGCCTGGAGAGGAGGAGGCTCAGGGGAGACCTCCTCACTCTCTGCAACTCCCTGACAGCAGGGGGGAGCCAGGTAGGGGTTGGTCTCTTCTTCCAGGCAACCAGCAGTAGGACAAGAGGGCACAGCCTTGAGATGTGCCAAGGGAGGTTTAGGTTGGACATCAGGAAGAAATTCTTTCCAGAGAGAGTGATCAGCCATTGGAATGGGCTGCCCAGGGAGGCGGTGGAGTCACTGTCCCTGAAGGTGTTTAAGGACAGACTGGATGAGGCATCAGTGCCATGGGCTGGGTGACAAGGTGGTGTTGGGTCAGAGGTTGGACTCGATGATCTCAGAGGTCTTTTCTGACCCAGCTGATTCTGTGATTCTATGAAAGGGAAGGTGCCTGGGCTGGAGATGGGGATGAGGGAAGAACCAGCACCCCCAGCCAAAAGTGCTGCTGGCACAGGGCCATGGCACTGAAGCCCGCTGGGAATCAGGGAAACAGCTCCAGGTTTACTCCACGGGCAGAGCCTGGGCTTTGGCATCATGTGGGAAGAAGGGACAGGGCCAGTGTGAAGCCCAGCAAGTCAGGGACAAGCCTAATTTCACGGGGCTTTGGATCAGGGTCTGACTTAACAAGTGAAGAGGGATTTGTACTTTGATCGTATTTCCATCATTTAAACTTGCAGTATCTTTACATTTGTAAGAAAGTCATAATAAAACTGATGCTAAACCTTTGTCCCAGTCCTTTTTGGGAATCAACTGTTAGGAGTAATACTAAAAATCCAAATTGCAAAGCACTTTTCTACTGTTTATTTTCTACCTTTCTTACTTTGAACTGTCTTGATATTGAAATCCCACTGATCCCACGATTGTTAGCTCTGTATTAAAAAAAAAAATAATAAAATAAAACCCAGGTTTTTTGTAGTTTGCTCTGTTTAGATTTTAGCCTGTGGCTACTTGTACAAGGAAAATAAAGCTAGAGTAAATGAGTCTGAGTGGGGCTTTTCTTTTCACACGTGGGGCTGTGGTGCGGGGGTTGTGCAGGGGAACTCGGGGCATCACCACTTCACAGGGACGGATGGTGACTTTGTGTCCTCTCAAAGAGCAGCTTCCAAAATGCAGCATTTAAGGACTGGGTGGGTTTTATTTTGATGTTTTGCTCATAAAACTCCAGCCAAGCCATCAGCAGAAACCTGCTGGAGAAGGGGGGCTCTTTGGGAGGTGGGTGAGATGAGACCTCCAGGGTCACAGTATGACACCTGTGCTTGGAAATGCAAATCAGATTCCAGTTAATCCTGGCTCCTGCTCAGTTATCCCTGTGTCTGCTTTTCCCGCTGCCTCAGGCGCTGACGGGGCAGCACCTGTGAGGGTGGGGAGGCCCTGGCACAGGTTGCCCAGAGAAGCTGTGGCTGCTCCATCCCTGGAAGTGTCCAAGGCCAGGTTGGATGGGGCTTGGAGCAACCTGGGCTAGTGGAAGGTGTCCCTTGGCAGGGGTTGGAACTGGATGATCATTAAGGTCTCTTCCAGCCCAAACCATTCTGGGATTCTAAGGTGTGTCCTTGCCCCAAAACAGGGGCTGTGAGCATGGGCCACCCTCCTGCAACTGTCCCATGTGCTGCAGCACTGCATGGAGGAACAGCCCCATCCCCTCCTCCTGGAGCTGCCCCCAAAGCCAAAGAACAGTCACAGTGAAGGCCACGGGGAATAAATCAGTGAGACTGAGCCCAGCACTTTGTAAAGAGGGTTTCAATAAGCAGGTAAGTGAAAAGTCCCTTCAAACAACTCCCTGAAGCTCTTGGAACTACTAAATTGCAGCATGGATTGTCCAAATATATGCTTCATAATAAATACCAGCATATAAACTGATTTTATTTCCCAGTGGCAATGCAAGAGGTGAAAAAAAGATCAGAGTGGGCTCACTCTGGGGATTTCCATGTAAGTTCAGTGGAATCTGGTGCTTCAGATAGCATTGTGGAGTCAAGGTATTGCACAGAGCTTGTGGCTTTCATTAAAAAGGACTTTCCCTGACTTCATGGCAATAAAAGAAAGGTTTGACAATATTAATCTGAAGTCTTAG